CTTCTAATGCATTACAAAAGTCTGAATGTGCTTTGTAATCACATTCATCCTTTCGTTTCATATATATTAATCTGAATTTATTGCAATATGCATCATAATTTTCACTATCTGTATGTTCTTTTTTTATGTCATATATATCTTTGAGTTTGTCAAATTCATATTTGGAGATACTATTTTCTTCATGTTCTGTGCATACAGGGTCATTTTGTTCTTTATATTTATTGATCAAATATATATATATATCTATTATTTTTGTTTTGGCGCATTTTCCCTTACAATTATCATATATCCAGTAATACAAGTATATACAACCGGAATCTTCTTTGGAATGATATTGTCTTTGTATTTCATTTAAATAGTACATAGATTTGTAGCATATATTTTCATCATTAAATTCATGATTCTGTGAAAAATTTTCATTAAAAGCATTGCATTCAGTTTGATATGTGTTCTTATATTGTTCATCATATCCTTCTATAATCTTTTGCCTAGAATAAAATTTATTAACCAATTCATACTAAAGCGAAAAAAATAATTATATTTAAAAATGGTGTTATTTTTATTGATGCTTTAAAAAAATTATGGAATATACATACATTACTATATTGTAATTTATATTTTTATAATTTGAATGTACAATATTCCCACCCATAAGTGATACTCTTATGTTTATATCTAAATAAAATTATTATGCTTATGAGTAAATATATATCAAATTGTGAATATTAGATCACATGTTACTATGAAAATATGTACCCTAAATTGTGTTATTAAAATATTCATTTATTAATGTCATTCTCTCATCATATGATTAATTATTTTGCATCCTAAAATAGATAATATGGGACTTTTGGATTGTAATATATTTTATTATATAATTTATATCAAGAGATGAAAAAATAGATAAGTAACATTGAAGTAACAAAATATTCTTTATTATAATATAATATCAAAGTTACCTTTAAGTTTAAAAGTTATATCTTATTAATAATTCACTCAATAAGAAAAAAGTATGGGTATATATAATATGTGCTGTCGACTAGAATATTTGTATAAATCATTTTTGCTTAAGTTTTTATTGTATTTATTTCATTAGTATATATAAACTAATTTCACGAATATAAAAGTTTTGAATAAATTGGATTATATTCAAGGATTTTGTAATTTCAACAATAATATATTAATATGGATGGAAAACTGTTAATTTATATTTTCCTAATTTGCATTATTTACATTTAAATCATACGAATAAAATCAATGAATATTTTAATATAATATTACGCTCAGTGTGGGAACAAGGAGTCATGTAACATAATGTTATAAATTATATACAAAGATTTCAGCGTTTTGAATTCACAGTTTAAGGTTTAGTTTTCAGAATATAGGGTATATCGTATTAGCGCTTAGTCTTGTTTTATATTTACATTATATGTTTGTCTACATTAATAGATTTTATTTTTTCTATACATATTTATTTATACATGTCTCATATTTTATGTTATTTTTCTAACTTTATATTTTTTAATTAAGGAATTTATAATTTATTTAATTATTATATAGATATATACTATTGTTGTTTTCTTTAGTAAATCTTCATTTTATTTATTTATTTTTTTTTATCTGAATTTTTGAAATTACAAATAATTATGATTTATATATATATTAATATTGAGAAATTCGTACAAAATTAATGTATTGTGTAAATATATATCAATTTATTTAATTAAAATAGGTATCATTGTAATATATGTGAATATTTATAATAAAGAATATTATTTCAAAGTGTGTTTCTATAAATTTTATTATATATATTTTGTTATGAAATAGTACATATATTTTGTAACAATAAAAATTTTTTAAAATGCTGAAAAAAATATATACATATCAGAAAAAACACATTCTTAATATGAACATGAAAAATTAAGGAAATGCTTAAAAATTTATTTATTTATTTTTTTTTTTTTGTCAGTACGTACTTTCTTAAATAGCATATCTTGCAAATAACTTTTCATGAATTGGAACATATGAAACACATATTTCTTATATATATTGAGTAATATAAAAATACATTTCTATTTGTACTATAAATTATAGTCGTATTTTACATAAAATGTTCATATTTATGTGATTAATTTTAAGAATTTATTTAATAATTCACAATAAA